ATAATCAAATACAACTGCCATATCACTTGGCAGGACCAGCTTCTAGCTTCTAACACTTTGTTTCTTATCCTTTCCTCTGTATCTTCCACCACAATGTAGGCAAATACATTATTCTTGTTTGATAGTAGTAATATCTCTCCTGAGTCAGCTCTTTTCTAAATTACTCTTTTTGACTATTTAATTTTCACACTTTGAATATGATTGAAATTTTAACTGAACACAGTCAAGCAAATCCAGCATGAAAGACACTCTTTACAGTTACTAGGTTATTGCTAATATATCCATTACTTGTGATATTTACTGAGAATTTGCAAGGAGAATTTACCAATGGTGAATATTAGCCTTACACTTCTATTGCCATTCTTGTGAGAATATTGTTGTTTTTGAAGAGTTGAACATGAGGAAAAATTTACTTCTTTGCTCTCCTGGTAGTAGCACTGGATATACATATTCAGGAGAGGGTAGTTGTTACGGGAATAGGAAATATTCAAGGCAAAGAGAACCAGGTTCCTTTGCTTCACTGGTATTAACCAAAGAAAACCTGTTTTCCTTTTACCTGAATTGACTGCACAATTTGTGTAGTACCTTGCTTAAAGCGCCTCTCATATGTTTGAAAAAATTTTATAGTTCCACACCATATAAGGGTCTTGCTTTGGTAAGGGGTAGTGATGGTGCACAACACCAGATGTAGTTCTCTATCCAACCTATACAGCAATAAAAATCAAGAAATGAAACATGTTTTTCTATATCTTTAGGCAGAGTACAAGGTCTAGGCAAACAAAGGGCTCTGTTCCTTGGATTATTCCTAGCTGTTGTTGTGCCTTAACCTAGGCTAAGAAGAGAAAATTAGATAAATACAACATGGTTTTACCAGAAGCTTTTTGCACATGAGTAACCAGACATTTTTCTTTGATGACAAACTTATTTTGCAGATAATAGAGTTGGCTTAAATTTAATTTTTCTCAGTTTCAGTGGAATGAGATGTAAGAAAATACAAGCAAAGCTGAATAAAGTGAGGATAAACTGACAAAAGGCAAGGTGGGCAGCTGTGCTGGTTTTGGCTGGAATAGAGTTAATTTTCTCAGAGCAGCAAGTGTGGGGCTGTGTTTGGGCTTTGTGCTGGAAGCAGAGCTGGTAACTCAGGGATATTTTAGCTATTGCTGAGCAGCCCTTCCACAGAGCCAGGGCCTTTCCTGTCCATCATCCCACCCCAGCAGTGAGGAGGCTGGGGCTGCACAAGGAGCTGGGAGGGGACACAGCCAGGACAGCTGACCCAGGGATATCCCACACCATATCCCACATCCCACACCATATCCCACACCCTATGGCTTCATGCTCAGTATGTAAAGTTGGATGGTGAAGGAAGGGGGAAACATTCAGTGTAGTGTCATTTGTCACCATCACACGTGATGGGCCCTGCTCTCCTGGCTATGGCTGAGCACTGCCTGCCCCTGGGAAGCAGTGAATAAGTTCCTTGTTTTGCACTGTTTGGGTGCACAGCTTTTGCTGTCCCTATTAAACTGTCTTTATCTCCACCCATGTAACTTTTGTTCTTCTGATTCTCTCCCTCATCCCGCCTGGGGGGAGTGAGCAAGTGGCTGTGAGGGGCTGAGTGAGTTACTGCTGGGGTTAAACCATGGCAGTAACAAAGGAAAAAATATCATTTAGAAAAGGGAAATATGAGGCTGGCAGGGGTTAAAAGCAAAGAAGATTAAATCTGGATACGATCCAGCTGAATACTCAACACAAGTGTTCAGTGGTCTATATAACTGACATGGTCAGTGTGGTCATAATTTAAAACATTGTATTAAAAAGAATCAGACTGTTGCAAGGAAAGAAGTAAGTGATCATCTTTGAGACTATGAATAATAGAAGTGGACCAAAATTCAGTCCTCCAAAAGTCCATGTACATAGGAACACCAAATCTTCTAATGTGGATTGGAGTTGATCAGTGGAAATTACTGAGCAGGGCACTGACCCCAGGGTGACAGAACTATTCACATGGTATGTCCATGAAAAGGGCATATGTAATTATAGACTGTGCTAGAACTTCCAGTAGAGAACAGGATGTATTCTTTCCAACACATGGTCCTGGGGAAAACTCAGCTACAATTCTGTGTATAATTTGGGTTATCTGTGTGAAACCAAGACAGGTTCAAATGCAGACAGATGCAGGGCACAGGAAATGAGAAAGCAGTAGAAATAATAGAAAAATAGAAAAGGTTTCCCTGCAAATCAAGGAGTGAGAGGGGACATTTTTGCTCTTTATCAAAGCCCCAGAATAATCCTGGAGGGGGAGAGCATTTTAAACTAACAAAAACTTGAATTAAACACAAATTTTAAGTAGGTTAAGAAACCCAGTCATGAAAACAGATGTTTCTAACCATTCAAAGAGTGAAGTTCTGGAAGAACCTTCTAATAAAAATGTAACACAGAGAACTAATGTAGCTGGTTAAAATGGTATGCATTACTGCCTTTAAAAAGATTAGTGTATGATAATGATGTGTTGTAGTGGCTGTAATAACTGGGAACTAACACCATGTAGCTCAGGCTTCTGGTTCTATAGAATATTTTTTCTATTGCCCTGAGCATGGAGGGGAGTCTACATTCAGCTTTTAGATTCATTCTTAGATCTACTCAGGGGATCAACACCTCATCAGAAAGCAGGAGGTAACTCTGGAACAGAAACCCCATAAGCTTGTCAGGCAGCACCTGGGTGCTCTTCATACACTATTTCCATATATTTATTTATTAACTAATGCACTGAGTAAGTAACTTTTTTCTATGATTTCCAGAGTGATGATAAATGGCTTTAAACCTTTACTTCCAAAATTCATGTTTTATTCCATACTCATCATAAACATGCATGGATATAAAATGGCAATACTTTTTTTCTGTTCATTTTTATAATTTTAAGAGGCAGCTGTGACATTATACACAATACACTAAATAGATTATTTCTAATATTCCTACATCTTCATACACAACTTACCTATTCCAGTTCTCTATGAATTGATTGTTATTCTTGAGCAATTATATCATCTCAAGAAACAAATCCACTTTCTCTTGTTATACTTTTCATTAGCTTTTTTTTTTAATTATATATTGAGTCCAATGTTGTGGGAAATGGTGACTTTTATAGCTACTAGTGGAAATATGAAAAAGCAGCTTCATTTTGCATTAAATTCTGTTAGATACATTTTCAAAGAGGAGATATTTCCCCATATTGTTTGGGTACTTGGGAAAATGCCATCCTGAATAATATTTTGTAAGTACTATTGGAAATTGGTTATTGTTTCAAAAGCAATGGACTCTTCTGAACTAGATGGTTGTGCCAAGCAAAAAATATTAAGAGGAATAAAGGATTATGTTAGCAACATTCATAATGGGGAAAACCACCTCAGAACAAAACAAAACCATGCAAAGAATAAATAATGGCCTAATTGAAATCCATAAATACTTCATGTGCTCTTTTTTTATTAGCTGTTAATAATGGCTGCATTGCAGAAATGCTTTCTGGATAGAAAGAGAACTAAGTGCCATGAAGGCATTTCTGCAATAATTTACTATTGAACTTTGTTCATTTTGTTCAAAAACTGACCACAGTTTTGTAGCATGGGGAAAAAAAATAAAGGTGGTAATAATTCATGGAAGCTGCTAACTCAAGAGAGCCCAATTAGAAGTCTTCAAAGGCAGGAGTATGGGTCTCTTTTTACATTAGGGTGTCTGGACAAGATTGACTTTTTATGCTTTCACTCTGGAGTATTTCTCAGTGAGCTTCCTCAAGGTTTACAGCCCCAACTGAGCAGGGTTGAGACTTTGCCTGGGGAGAGGTGAGGGGGCTCTTTCCCACTTGTATGTTTACACAGCATGACCTATGGTAAAGGTCTGAAATTTTCTAACAGTACAAGAAAATGGCTGCTATGGCTCCACAACACACAAATTGTACACAATCTGTCCCATTCCCCACACAAACAATGGAATGTTGTAAACCACACCTCATCACGCTTTGCCAAGGAATATGAAATGGTAATCTCATCTGAAATGCAAGATGTGGTCACCCTTTCAACCACTCTACATGCATTTAAGACATTTCCCCCCTACTAGGGGAAACAATACAAATATCTCCATGTGCCCTGAATATACAGGGCAGAACATACATGTTTTTGACTTATTATGAAACCCAGAAAGCCAATGTGAGTTTATTAAGGCACAATCACTTCTTAACAAATTATATTGGGAACTTCTGGGGAAGTTCCTCAAAATTAAGCACTGATTGCCTAGATAGGCAGCAACATCTATCCCATGAGTAACATTAAAAACATTTCTACATTAATATACAAATATGTGCTCTCTAAGAGTGCTGTGTTCTCTCTGCTTTAAGACCCAAAATTATCTGAACTGAAATGCATTCACATAATTCTAATTAAATACGTTCTACATTGGAAAATTACACTGGAATGCATAAAGAGCAAAGAAACACCACATTTTAGGCAAACTTTTCCATTGCCTTCCACAAACTTTACAAGATACACTTTCTCATGACACATTATCTAGGTAGGGAGTAGAAACTCAGAGTAATAGAACGTGCTAAAAAAAAGTTTCAGAAAGTAAAGCTGATGGAATAAGTATAGAGTACGAGAGGCATCACCATTTAAAACAGGCAGGTGGGCAAAGCGACACTAGAAACAAAACCAAAAGCGTGGGCATCCATCTCACACACGATGCCCATTCATAAACGCGGCTTTGAAGCCACCTGCCATGTGCTTAAAGCCCAGCTGGCGATGTGCTAGACTGGAGCCTGCCGCTCTCCCGGCGCGGCTGGCAGGACAAAGGCGGGCTCCGCGCTGCCTCCCGGGCACAGCGCACCCGCAGGTGGCAGCCCGAGGGAGGCTCCGCGCCCGCGGCTCCCGCACGGAGCGGGGCCGGAGCCGCCCGGCCGGAGCCGCCGCGGCCCCGGGAGAGGCGCGGCTCGGTACCGCGGACAGCTCCGCACTCACCGTCCTCATTCTCGTCGAAGACGGGCGCCCTGTGGGAGTGGCCGCCCCCCATGTTATTCCGCGGCCGGCTCCGCATCCCCCGCCGCCAGCATCCCGCGGGGCGCGCCGGCGGCACCCCGGAGCGGGGCAGCTGCCCGCCCGCCGCCGGCCCGCCCGGCCCGGCCCCGCCGGGGAGCTCCGCAGGGCTAGCAGTCACCCTGCGACATGAAAGCGATCCGTCTGCCCCTGGCAGAGACCGCTGCTGGCTGGCAGAGACAGACTTGGCCCTTCTCTCATCGCGGAGGGGCAGGGGAGGGAGGGAGGGACGGAGTTAGGGGAGGAGGGAGGGATGGAGGGGGAGGGAGGGAGGAGGCGGAGGTCCTGCTGCCGGTGGCTTTTGGTAAGCGGTAAAAGCTGGATCTACCTGGATCCTCGCGGATCCTCCCTCCTCCGCTTTCCCTCCTCCCACATCTCCACTGGGGAGCGCGGAGTCCCCGCTCCTGCCCCGGCAGCGGGGTCGGCCCCGCACCCTGCCCTGCCCTGCCCTGCCCGGCCTCCGGCGGCCGTGTCTGATGGGCAGTGGGTGCAGAGCCGCTCCTGCCGCCCGGCCGCGCTGGCAGCACCGGGTGCCCATCGCTCCCGAGGCGCGGCAGAGGCGGGAGGGTGAGCATTGCCCTGGCTCCAGGTGGTTTTTGTTTTGCTTCCCGACTGGGAAGGGGCGTTCATCGCCGGCAGCCCGGAGGGACGCGGCCGGCCGACCGAAGTTCGCTGAGTTTACAAAGTGGCAAAAAGAACCAAAGGGAGCTGCTCCCTTCCCTCCCGCTCCCTCCCGTTCCCCCGCTGCCCGGGCGGGGCGGCCCCGGGAGCGCGGCCGGAGCGGGCGGGGCGGCGCGGGCAGCCCGGCCCCGCAGCGCCACCTGCCGGCCGCGCCGGGCAGCCCCGAGCCGGGGCGGCTGCGGGGACCGGGAGGGCGGCGGCTCCTGCAGAGCGGGGGGCGCAGAGGGACAGGGCAAAGATTTGTGCGTGTAACACGTGTGTGTGTGAGTGTGTGAGTGCGTGAGTGCGTGAGTGAGTGTGTGAGCGTGTGAGTGAGTGAGTGTGGAGATGGAGATGGACAGGGTAAATATGTATGCATGTATACACGTGTGTGTGAGTGTGGAGAGGGACAGGATAAATATATGTGTGTATGCATGTATGTGTGAGTGTACAGAGATGGACAGGGTAAAGATGTGTGCATGTATACACGTGTGTGAGTGTAGAGAGATGGACAAGGTAAATATGTGTGTGTTTATACATGTGTGTGAGTGTGGAGGTGGACAGGGTAAATATGTGTGCATGTATACAGGTGTGTGAGTGTGTGTGAGTGTGGAAAGGGACAAGGTAAAGAAGTGTGCATGTATTCACGTCTGTGTGTGTGTGTGTACAGAGATGGACAGGGTGAATGTGTGTGTTTGTATGTGTGGAGATGGACAGGGTAAATATGTGTGCGTGTTTATACGTGTGTGTGTGTGAGAGAGTGTGGAGATGGACACAGGTAAATATGTGTACATGTATAGACATGTGTGTCTGCAGAGATGGACAGGGTAAAAATGTGTATACACATGTGTGTGTGTGAGTGTGGAGATGGACAGGGTAAAGATGTGTACATGTATACACATATGTGTGTGTGTGGAGATGGACAGGATAAATATGTGTGCGTGTATACATGTGTTTGTGTGTGTGTATGTGTGTAGATGGACAGGGTAAATATGTGTGCATGTATACACATTGTGTATGTGTGAGTGTGTGTGGAGATGGAGGTGGACATGGGTAAATAGGTGTACATGCATACACGTGTGTGAGATGGAGGTGAATATGGGTAAATATGTGTGCATGCATACACATGTGTGTCTGGAAATCACTCCCCTCTAAAAGTGCATTAGGAAAACTGCCAGCACTGGAAAGGGATTACACGGATCACCTGCCATGTAGCAAACAATGAGAGCTTTCTAGGCTTGCTGTTGATATTTTTAGACAGAAATAGCTGTATCGCTCCCTTACAAAAATTCTACCGTTAGCAACCTTTGAGTGAAGTAGAGACAATTGTGTTCAGCACTTCCTCCAAAGGGAAACAGGTAAAAAAATTAAATATCTATATTAATACTGTATCCAGGTCAAAGCCTTTGCAGTTCCTCCAGGGAAACCTGCAGACAGAAAAAAAAAATCAAATGGAAGTTGCATTTTTGCTTCTTCACTGTTACATGGGGAGAAGAGGGAGAAAGAATAGAAGCCAGAAACTAGGGTATATGTATTTCCCTATAGAGGCAGAAAGGCTTTACCATTCTCCTGTAATATTTACCACCCTTCTTTCAGTAAAGTTGTTTAGAAAAGCCCAAGAGCAAATACTACAAAGCAGAAGAACTTTCAGTCTCTTTGTATATGACTTTTACCTGCCTTAGTTACTCTCATGACCTGTCTTTGAACCCTATATAATGCTGCTGTCACCTCTCTGAGAAAGGTTGATTAGACTTAAATGAAGAGGGTAAGATCCTGAGCTGTGTGGCTGAGAGCTTAGAGCTTACAGCCTCTACAAACCCAGAAAATGGATAAATTCAGACATGGTGATATTTTTTCCATAAGTAGACATGGACACATTGTATCACCTGCTGACATCCTTTACTTAAATTATTGGGGTTATCATTACTTCCATGTGAAAACATTTGCAAAATAGGGAAGCTTTCAAAACTTTGACCTGTGATTATTCTTGTAAAATGGAGTCTGGAAAGCATGACTTACTCTTTGTCATTCTTTTGTTTATTACTCACCCATTCAAAGATTTAGTCATCCAGTCAGGAGCAGAAATAACGTAATGTTACTGAGTTTGTGTTCCTTCAGCCAGAAGACAGCAACAATACTTAGCAATCACAGAGCTTCAGCTCTCTTTTGGGTTACCTAACCAACATGGTGCTTGATGTTAATCCATTTTCTTTAGCAGGAACAAGGAGGACTGCACTTAGCTTCAGCTGATAAGAGTTACCTTCTGCCTGAGCTAAGGGCTTACATCCAGCCAATCCAACTGCTCCAATTCACACAGAAGTGTTTCCAAGTGGCCTTCCAAGTAACGAGAGGAACTGGTTTGCCAGTAAGCCCCAGGGTGATCATTTTACACATGAGAAACCCACCCATAGAACATAGATATGAGGGATGAGCAGGAGGAACAGTTTGGTATCCCACTACATGCAGAAAATACAAATTCATTGAAAACTACTTAAAACTGCCTCCAAGTGTTGTTCAATTTCTTTTTTGTGCCTGACTTCCTTCACATAGACCAGAAGTCTAACAAGTTTTCTGAGATTACTTTCTTGATTTCATATGACAAGGCCCATCGTGAACCAAAGCAGTTCTAACAATTTACAGAAAAATGAGTTGTATCTATCCATTAATTAATCACTCCAAATGGTGTGTCATTTTGACTCCTTTTTGACAGCTTTGCAATAAATCTGCCCTTGATTTGTGCAAAATTCAGGCTTATGTTTAAACCTCAGCATAGCTAGGAGGTTAAGACAAATGGCGTACTGTGTTCATGTGAAATGTGAAAAATTAGCATTTAGTAATAAAGTATTGATGAGACTTTTTTTTTTTATTAATTGATAATATTATATTCCTCTATAATGCTTGTAATTGAGTGGTGCCAGACATTATCCTTCACAGTCATTTTCTGTAGAAACAGACAAAAAAAAAGATGATCTGACAAGAATTGTTGGGTTTGCTGTTCTGAAAGCAATGTAATATATTCTTTGCATCAGTGTCTGTGCTCTGAACTAAGATGTGTTTGTATGATACTCATCATCTTCCTGGGAGCATCAGTGTTTCTGCAAGTAAATCAGAAGTTGTTTATACAATGGTGTCCAATGGTGCTAAGCTTAGATGTGTGCTCAGAGCCCAGCCAAGCCTCAAGAAAACCAGTGGCAGTTTTCCAGTACCTTTGACATGAGTAATGTCAAGCCTTGGACACATGGGCTGCTTATCCACGTGATCCTGGGCTCCCCTTTGTCCTTTGCAACCCTGAATGCATGCTAAATTCTGAATAGAGGTATAACTCCAGCATCTTTTTTCTTTAAAATATTCAGGACAATCTGAATTCCATTGCATCTGCTTCAAATTTAGCAACAACTCTTCAAGAACAATTACTCATATATTTTTCCAATTGCTTTTGTAAACCAGAAATAAGTCTGAAATTCTTTATCATAACATCATGCATATCAGTACAGCTCTCTGAAGCCTGAGAATTCTCAGAACAATTAAATTTTTACTCTTCTGGGACAGAGATTTCTAAGCTACAAGCAGTTTCTGAGTCTTGCAAGACCAAAACCAAATCAAACTTCTCATGCTTATCCTTTCTCTGAAAAGACAGTCAGGTTTTGCTTGAGATAAACAAAGTTCTAAACTTAAAAACACATTTTATTTTTAGCAGCTATCTGCTGCATAGTCTATGCAGAAAACACAGTAAGGAACAAGGACAGTCAAATAGAGCTCTTCTCTTCCCCCTCTTTTCTTTCCCCTTCCTCCTGCAATCAGCATGAACATCATTTTGAGATATTGTTTTACATTTTCATTTAAGGCCTATGTTGTCTGGCTTAGATTAATAGTGATTTTTTTCAGATCTCCATGCAGCGTTAGCAATAAAGAAAATCAAACATGATTACAATCCTTTGCATTATAAAACTTCCCTCGGGGAATTCACTGGTTTAAAGCCAGTAATTCTATGATTACAGCTTTTGTATTAAAATGCTTCTGATGAGACTTATGGGGTGAGGGTGACCTTAGAGTTCTTGATTTCACAGCACACCTTGTTGATATGCTAATATTTTTAAATTGCAGACTGTTTACACTGACATTTTTGTGTTTGAATACTATCCTGGAGTTAACAAAGAAGATATTAAAATAGCATCTTTTGCCTTTATGATTATGACTACTTTAAAAGGAAAGATGATGGGTTAAAAAAGTCCCCTTCTTGGAAACCAGTAGGGTCACCTATTCTATTCTATTCTATTCTATTCTATTCTATTCTATTCTATTCTATTCTATTCCATTCCATTCTATTCTAAACTTTGCACAGGACTGCAG